CGTGGGGGGCCCTTCACCCTGGCACAGCCCCCCCGCTCCCCTCACCCGCGGCAGTGTGGCACCCCGGGCACCGCTGCCTGCAGCCACCCCTCTCCCTGCCCTCAGGGCGCCTGCCTGCGCTGAAGACGCGGGACGAGGGCACCATCTCCAAAACGCAGCAGATCATAACTCACCTCAGGAAACAGGTAGCGGGGGGTGAGGGGCACCCCCTGCCCCGGGCTGGGGGCCGGAGGGGGCCGGAGCCCCCCTGGGAAGGAGTGGGCTTTTGTCACAGTCGCCCAAGAGGCACGGGCAGGATTTGCCACTTCCCCGCCGGATCACGCCCGTTGCGTTTGTGCTGCAGAAGTATAACGCCGACTACGACCTCTCAGCCACGCAAGGGGCGGACACGCTGGCCTTCGTGTCCCTGCTGGAAGAGAAACTGCTGCCGGTGCTGGTGAGTCTCCCTGTGGAAACATCTCGGAGGGGCACACGGGGAAGGTGGTCTCGCCGAGGACTGGATCTGCTCCCTGGAGCTATGCCGGTGGGCTCAGGCGTGCAGCCACCTGCCAGGAGAGCCAGAGAATGTTGCAGGCAGCCAAATCCCAGTGGCCTGGAGCATCAGTAGCAGGGATCAGGGTGCTGGGGGTCTTGGGTGGCAGCGGTGGGTTGTGGAGCCAGGGCTGGGGTCTGGCCTTGACCCTGATGCTTCCTCCGCCCCTCATGGTCTCCGGGGCAGCCAGTCCTGTGCCGGGCACGTGGCGCCTGTGTGAGCAGCGCCAGGCACGGACTCTGCAGCGCCTGCCACGCACGGCAAAAGTCTGCGGCTGGCTCCAGCCCCACCATGGCCTGGGCACGGATTGTTCTCCGCTGCAGATCCACACCTTCTGGGTGGACGCAAAGAACTACGTGGAGCACACGCGGAAGTGGTACGCGGAAACCGTTCCCTTCCCCCTGAACTTCTTCCTGCCCAACTGCATGCACAAGCAGCACCTGGAGCGGCTGCAGCTTATGTGGGGAGACGGCTACATGGACGATGAGGAGAAGCTGGAGAAGGAGGTGAGGGGATGTGGTCTGGGCACGGCAGGTCCTCGGCAGGTACCCGGAGGGACCCACGCAAGGCCAAAATCTTAATTGGGGTCTGGGGTTCACCCTGGCTGAGCACCCCCTTCCCGCTCCCCTTAGCACCGTGGCAGTCTGCCACGTGGCCGGGTGGGTGACAACCCTCTGTCCTCCTTCTCCAGCTATACCGGGATGCTCGCGAATGCCTGACACTCCTGTCCCAGCGCCTCGGCTCCCAGAAGTTTTTCTTCGGAGACTCGTAGGTGGCCATAAGGGGAAGGTGCTCTGGGGCCTGAGAGCCTCCTGCACCCAGGCAGGACCGAGACCCCATGGTCCCATGCACGTCACTTTGGGGGTTGGACAGGCTTGCAGGGGACAGGGCTGTCCGTGGCAGCATGGAGTGACGTGGGCGGCAGGAATTAAGGCTGCAGGAGCTGCCACCAGCCCTGGCATCTCTTTCCCCGTCTCTTGTTGGAGCCAGCAGAGCTGCTCTGGGATAGGCTCATCCTGCTCCCCCAGTCCTCACCTTCAGGGGCTGGAAGCAGAGAGCCCTCCCAGGGAGGAGGAGCCGCTTGCCATCCCCTCGGGCGCAGGGGGCTGGGGGTGGCTGATGCGTCCGGGTGGCTTTGGGTGGGAACGGCGGGAGGAGGTGGGAGGGACCGTGACCCAGTCACAGGTCTCTGTGCCCCAGGCCGGCCTCCCTCGACGCCTTTGTCTTCAGCCGCCCGGCGCCGCTC